GTCTCCTCTATTCTCACTTCTACTTAGGTACAGGGAGTTTATCTAATCAGCTGTCTCTGCTTCATACCTCCCTTTCACTAGCTCACTGAGCTGAACTTCCTCTAAATTCCCTCTGCCCAACCCTGTACTCTCATGTTTCTCAAGTTTCTTTCCTGTCATCCTTCATGTACTATCTGAGTACAACTTGTTCATGAGACCCTTTCTCCTTCAAATTTCTCCAAATTTCCAAGGAACAGCTGAAAACTTCCCCTGCTTGCCCCCTATGTCAGCCAATATTATCAATGTTTTCCCTGTCTTCATGTGTTGTCCCTTCCTCTTTAAACCTGCCATTACCACTCCTCTCTGAAAAAAAGTCATCCTTTGATAGTACCATTCTTTGAAACTACAGCTTCATCTTGACCTTCCCTATCCTCTCCAAAGTCCTTGAATATTTTGTCACCTACCAAACCTGTGCCAATGGTTCCCAGAACTTCATGTTTTAATTTGTTCAGTTGGGTATCTGTCTCACCATAGCACCAAAATAGCTCTTATCAAAGTTATAAATGACATCCAGTGTGACTGTGACAAAAGTAAATATCACTCCTTATTCTCCTGCAGTCTTTGACAAGGTTGACTATGCCATGCTCCTCCAGAGCCTCTCTACTGTGAGCCAACTAAGTGGGATTGCTGCTTGGCCTGCTGTGTTCATCCAGCTCTACACCTTGTTATCTCAGATTCTCCAGCATCTGCAGTTCCGACTATCTCTGCTCTCAATCAGTTGCATTCTTATCTATCGTATTGTATCTATTGTATCACTTGCAATGGTTTCTCTTTCTTCTGTCATATTTTTATCTCTGGACTCCCCCCCGCAAAAGGAATTTATCCTGACCTTTTTTTGTATGCATGTTGAAAGCACAGAGTAGGTTTTCACAAGTGTGCCAACAACCTACAACTTTACCTCACCACTACCTTTTTCACCTTCTCCACAGTTGCTAAACTATCAGACTGCTTTAGCCGACATCCAGTACTGGACAAGCAGAATTTTTTTTCCTATTATGTATTGGTTAGGCCATTGAACTTGGTCCCTTCTCTAAAGTTTGCTCCCAAGCTACTGACTCTGTCCCTTTCCCAGTCAACAGTCTGAGACTAAACCAGATTGTGGTCAACATAGTTGACTTAATGGCTGGAGTGCAGTACAGAACAATGCCAATGGTGTTAATGCAATCCCTGTCTGGGCTCTGATAGTTCATGAGTCCTGCCTCCCACATTTGAGAAGTGGTGCCTCTCAAGCTACACATAACTAATTGTCTCACTCTAAGGGAGAGAGCCAGTTCGGATCATTTGTGGACTCTGGTTAATTAATTATCCCTCACCTCTGGGTGATTATCCAACTACATATTGGCCCATTATTAAGCCCACCTTTCCCAACTTCTGTAAAATCAGCTGAATGTGTCAGTCTCAGCTCATCTGCTGATGATATCCTCATTCAGATCTTTGCTACCTCGAGACTTGACTACTCCATTGCTACTGTGGCTTCCATTGTGGCTCCCTCTCACATGCTGCCCTTTATAAACTTAAAGGCATCCAAAACTCTGTTGTCTGTATCTTAACTCACACTAAGTCTCCTTCTTTTACCAGTCCTGTCATCACTGACTCACATCAATTCAGAGTAATGCAATGAATTGATTTAACAGTTTTATCTTTATTTCAAATCCCTTTATGACTTTGTAATTGGCCAGACATTTCCTTATCGTAGAACCCAAAAAGTGCAGAAAGAGGTCTTTTGGCCCATCAAGTCTACACTGACCCTCCGAAGAGCATCCCACCCAGATTCAGCCCCCTACCCTCTTCCCATAATTCTCATTTAGCACAGCCAATTCACCAAACTAACCTGCACGTCCCTGGACACTATAGGGCAATTCAGCATTAACCTAACCTAACCTGCACATCTTTGGACTGTGAGAGGAAACCCAGCAGAAACCCACAGGGAGAATGTGCAAACTCCATACAGACAGTCACCCAAGTCTCTGGTGTTGTGAAGGCAGCGAAACTAACCACTGAGCCACTGTGCTGCCCCAAATGTTATGTTGCTTATTATCATATTTTGTTTTTTAATGCCCATATGAAGTGTCTTGGCACATTATATAATGTTAAAGGCACTATATAAACATAAGCTGTGGGAATACAGGCACAGGAATAGACAATTCAGAACATCCAATATGCCCACGAATAGATTAGATCTTGGCCATTCTTCTACCTCATTGCCACTTTCCTACTCTATCTTCATATCTCTTAATGTCATTAGTTTCAGAAACTGATCAACTTCTGTTTTGATCATGCACACTTCCACAACACTCTTTCAAAGATTCACCATCCTCTGAATGAAGAAATTCCTGCTGATCCCAATCTTAAATGGCTTAACCTTTATCCGGAGTTTATGTCCCCAGGTTCTTGAGCCACCAGCCAGGGAAAACATCCATTTACATCCACTTTGTAGAAATTTCATAAATTTTAATAAAATCACCTCTCATTCTTCAAAACATTTGTTGTTGTTGTTTGATTTGTGGAGGCTACGGAGCTGAACTGAATCTTGCCCTTATATAATATTTGTATTTGCACTGTTTCAATAAGAAACAGAAGAGGAACAACGTCTGAATTTCTCCTCTTTGACTCAGGACTGCTATTGTGACGTCCATATTGACTCCTCCCACATGCTGCCCTCTATAAACCTGAAGATATAAGTTCAGCAATGGAAATTTGAAACAAATCTAAATCCAGCTAAAGTCTAGGAAATTTCCATTTTCAATCTAAAGCATGATTACATGGGTGTCATTTCCATTCATGTCAGCTATCCAATTTGGTAAGTAGATTTATATCCAAATGCCAATAACCCTCTAGTTAGTACACAAATCTAAGCAACATCAAGGGACAACTGGTTCCTAATAAGATGTAAATGTTGAGACAGATGTACAGATTAATGAGAAAGGACAAAACGAGGAACATGAGGGGATCAGTGAAGATCGTGAAGGCATTGATGAAAGTAGCTGAGAAAGGAGAGAAATGGTATTGATGAAAGAGAAAAAGAATGGTATTGATGAAAGAAAAGAAGAAATGTGGTGAGACAAGTGAAGATGATGGGCTGGCCAGGAACAAAGGGAAAAGGGAGTCCGACGCCTGATGAGAAGATGCAATGAGAAACATAAACACAGTGGAATTGTAACAGGAATGGTGACTGACAGAGAAAAAAACAGACATGAGTATTCAAGTAGCAAGGTGGTAACCCCAAGTACCTAGAAGAGGAAGAAGCATGGTTTTGTAGATTGGTTCTCGGCTGGTTTTAAGTAACACAGTTGATATTACCAGCTACAGTTTGCAATCAAGAAAATTTAAAACACAGAGACAGTTCCTGAAAGTGATATCAGCCAAGAAACTGAGTGGGAGGGGTGACCCAGTTGAAGGGTTTTCATATTTATGATAAAATAGAACTTTTTCTAAAATGTGGGTGTAATTTAGAGTAATTGATTTTACAAAGGGAAGGGAGAAGAAATCCAATGCTAATGTTGCTTTTCTGTTTGCCCATTGTGTTATCTCTTTTTTCCTCGGTAGTCTCTCAGGATTGAGGGTCACTTTCATGCTTGAATAGTTGGGAAGATGAGTTGCTTGCAGGTTTGTGCACTGCATCAAGTGCCTTGACCTTTTGTCTGTGCACATTCTTGATGAAGATTCTTGATGTATCTATTAAAACCTAATACTACTTCATCCCAAAATTACTTTGGTTTCAATGTTTAGATATTTCAATTCTACATTTCTTGACTTTTTTCTTATTCCTTAACTAGATATATTACAGTTTTTTTTTCAGATTTTACAATGCTTCCCTGATGAACTTTTTCCAGTTTGATTGGTCACATGCAGTTACACCATGAGTTGGTAATAATGTTTGACTCTGGGATGCTTTGAGGGCATATGCTGTCCATCTGGGATTATCCAACTCCAAGCAAGCTCAAAATAGAGTGGTTGCTTTGGGTGTCTGGTGTCAGGCATGTGCAGCATATGTCCCACCAAGTGGAGCAGTTTTCGAATTATTTTCACCTTAAGGCTGGACAAGAAACGTCAGCCTCTCTGCTCCTATGATGCTGCTTGGCCTGCTGTGTTCATCCAGCCCTGCAGCTTGTTGTCTCATGCTGCTGTTGGAACTTCTTTCTTACCACCAGTTTTGGAGGACCGTATAAAAGGTGTTACTTCTCCAGTCATTGGAGGTGCCTGCTGTAGGTTGTTCAAGTCTCCAAAGCATTTAGGAGGAGCACAGAGCTGCCCAGCAAACCATGACCTTTATCTCGAAGAGGGGTCACTGGAGCCGAAATGTTAACTCTGCTTACTCTCCACAGATACTGCCAGACCTGCTGAGTTTTCCAGCAATTTCTATTTCTGCACCTTTATATTGGATTTCAGATCCTGATGTTCAAAACACTTTTCTTCAGTCAGAGATAGTAGGAACTGCAGATGCTGGATGATCTGAGATAACAAGGTGTAGAGCTGGATGAACACAGCAGGCCAAGCAGCATCAGAGGAGTAGGAAGGCTGACGTTTCGGGCCTAGACCCTTCTTCAGTCAGCTGGTGTCTGAGCTGGTACTTTGGAACCAGTGATTAACTCAGCAATCTATGCCTGCTTTCATCGAGAAAGCTCCTAATAATCATTTTCCTAATAATCCGCATTTTCCAGGATCTCCCTGCAAATCTTACTTGATTAGTGGGATGGTACTGTGAGGACCAGTTGAAAGAGGATCTGTTTCAGTGAAAGGCCATTAATTCGTACTGAGAGGTGTAATTACTGTCCAAACTAAAGAAACCCTCTTCCCCGCAAAGCAATGAGCCTGAAACAGCACTGATGGGAAAGTGGTGGGGGGTGCCTGGGGTGGGCGGGGCGACGTGCGTGCTGGCGTACCATGAACGCCGTGACGCACATCTGACGTACAGACACGACGTGAGGTTGGAGAAGGGGTGGCCTGTGGTGTGTGACGTGCTTCGCGGAGCGGGGCCGTGGTCTCCTGGGGAGCGCGGTGATATTATGGGATGTTAGACCTGGAGGAATGGCGCTGGGCGCGTGATTTTGAACAAACACGATCGGTCTCCCGGTGACGAGCGCTGTGTGTCTGGTAACCGGGGCCGCCAGCGCCGCCTCAGGCCCCAGGCGGCCGTGGTCCTTCTCCATGCCGCCCGCTTCCAGCTCCGAGCGGCCCGGAACCCACAGCCGGTGAGTATCCGTCAGCGGCGCGGCTGTGTTTATGTCAGGGAACGCTGCACCACTGCCGCCTTGGCCCCGATGAAACTGGGGCTGGGCGGCTTCGGAGCACCGGCTGATGGCGGCCGGGCTGGAGTGAGAGTGCAGCCCCCGATCTGGACTGAGGCCGGGAGGGTGTGGAGCCCCCGATCTGACTGGAGCCGGGGGCTTCGGTCGGTTTGACGAGGACTTTCTGCCTTGTATGAGGTGCCTTCTGTTGAAGTTGTCCGCAGTGTTGTCAGTGGCCTCACTGACTGTTTCCTTCTTTCTAAAAGACTCTCCTCTAGTGACAGCTCTTTGATCGTCTTCTTGCCTTCACCCCAATCCGCACTTATACCCTCTTCTGTTTCTTTCCCATGATGTCGCCTTAATTTGTTTGAAACTACTTCCACCACCCCCACCCCCGCCACCGCCGTTGTCCAGCCGTGCGTTTCGTTTTCTTTTTGCTGTGTTAAACTGTGTTGTTTTTAACATTGTGTAACTTTAATGCATTTCTGAAACTGAAAGATTCACGTCGCTCTTATAACTTTGGGTTTGTAAAATACATTTGCAGTAGTGAGCCCTTCGAAGATGACCTACACTCAGATTTAAAAAAAACAAAATAGCTACTGGCTCCTGCCTGTATTTGGTCTGAAGCGGTATCTGTAATTTCTGTTTAGCAGCGGTAACAGTTCATTGTGGAGTTTAGTCTTGGCTCCTGACTGATCTCCCCAGTTATAGATTTCCCCCGCCCCTGGGATCATGATCCAAAGGGCTTTGTACTGTCAATGTTCTCAAGAACGGGCAGTATCACAAAGCCCAGGGTCGAATTTTTTTGTTGTTGTTGTGCTGACCTTATACAGGAACCATTTCTTTAAGCCCCGCCAGCGATTTGAACGGGAGCAAGAAGTGTATTTATATGTTGAAGAACATATGTGAGATTTTGTTTCCAGCAGGTAGATTGCTGATTTGTAAGTTGTTTGTTGTTTGAGGAGGAATGCGCCAGGGCGTCAGGCTGAACGTTTGTGGGGTTTGTTCGGCAACTGTGGTATTTCCTGTTAGTTTTTTTTCCGCGGTTTTTTCGTATGATTTTTGTATATCTCCCAGTCTCGCTCAGGCCCTGCCTTTCTCTGGAAATGTGATGACGAGGTGAAAATGGCGGACCTTTCGAAATGCAATCCCTGCCTAATAATACACCCGAGCCTAGTCTGAAAAGCCCGAACCGGCTTTGGGCTCTGCCCAGCCGCTCAGACACAAAATGACACATTCTCTCTTTTCACACCCAGATGTCACGCTTGTAACACTTGAGGTTTCTCTGCCAAGCATAGATACCTCGGGTGCAAAGGCCTGCAGTTCTCCTTTTCTTTTGAGATCGTTTGGAGAGACGTGGCTCTCTGAAAGATACACTAAGGTATGCCCAGATTCCGCCTAACAAAGATTACGTCTGGAAGTTGTCTAGCCATTTAGTTTACCTGATCCAAGTACAATGTAAAATCATTCACATTACGTATGTAGGATTTCTAAGGACAAGCATACTTTGCGATATTTCTTTTGAGGTTTTTCATCAATAAAGATAATTATCAAATAGAGGTCATGCATAAATGTATGTGGCAAAAATCCTCATTCTTTGATCTTTTTGCTCTACTCTGCTGCCAGTTACGTTATTTACAGCGCCCCCTCCCCAATATAAAAATTAACCAGTTCCGCCCCCTCGTCCTCCCAGAACACGGCTAAATTGTCGTGGTCAGATTCACAACTGTACAAACGTGAAAAAAATTCCAATCAACCTGTTTAGGAATGTTGTAATACACCTAGAGCAGGTGTGACTTGAACCTGGGCATTATGGATACTGCATCCTTGACTATCAGATCTGTTCCAGGTTTGGAGGCTATGATCCTGTTTCTCACTTGGTGTGTTCACTGCGGGAACGATTACTTAGCTCCAATTTTTCACCTTCGTAATGTAGCAAAACATCTGACTTGAAGGATGGAGTAGCAAGACTTGCAGGAGTTGGAATAAAGTGCTGCTAAGGAGATGTGTTTTAATGGTGAAAAGAAAATAGCAAAAAGCAAAGTAGATAGGATATTGCAAGATAATACAGACACGATGGGCCATATAGCCTATGTTGCATCATTCTTTTGATTGCCAATGGTAGAATATAATGCAGAAGGGATCATGATGTAGGTAAAAGTTGAAATATCAGCAGGTGCAGACAAGGAAAGAGGGCTGGAGAAGGATGGGAAACTGGAATTAAAAGTGAGAATGAAAAGAAGTTGTGCTTCTGTCTAGTCACCCATTGAGATGCAATTGTTTGTGTGGTAACTTGTTGGCATGTGACTGCCATTTTATACACAGCAAGCCCTCGCAAACATATGTATGATAAATGATGACTTAATCTGTTTGGCTCAAATGAGAGACCACTGTTGACCACGGTAGTGGGAGAAGTTGAATTGTTTGGACTGATCAGGATCTGGTGCGTCAGTTTTTCTAGTGTAGATTTTGTTTTGCTAGAGACTAGTTATGCAGTAAAACGTTTAAATTGAAGTAGAAACATTTAATAGAAAGAGTCCCGTGTGAGGCTTGTATACATTCCAATCTCCTGAAAGTAAACAATACATCTTTTTAAAGTTAATGTAAACTCCTGCTTGGTCAACTGAGCTGTGCAATGCCTTTGATGTTAGGTGAAAATACTGACAGACCATTGAATGCCAAGAATATTGCTCAATTTATACAGGGGAGAGGGGGAGGATAGACACTTTGCCATTGATTACAAAGTGTGTACTTGCCAATGCAGAAAATAGGTGAAATATTATTAAGATTTGGCTGCCTTTTGTGCCTGTTTGTCCATTGACATCCTTGCAATCGAAATGTCTGCACATTTGCTGATAGAAGCAGCGTTAATGAAAAAGGAGTTCATATTTGATGTGGGAAATAGAAAAATCAGAACAACTGAAGGGATTTCTTTTCAGCTGGGATTAACAAATGTTGAATAAGTAAACAGTATTCATTCTGTCAAGCCTTCTATCTCCAGATTATCCTTTCTTTGATTCTTTCCCATTATATAACCTCCTTGCTGTGTTGCTAATGGAGAAAATTCAAGTACAGAATAATTTTTGCCTGTCCTGGGAGATAGTTGAACAAAGCTCCAAAATATTTGTGTATTCTCACTGCCATGCAGACCTGTATGTTTGGTTTCTACAGTTTGTGCTTTATTTGGTGACAGCAAGCACTGCAGACTGTTTAACTCTGTTGTAACCTTCCATATTTTTCATACTCATGGAATGTGGATGTTGCATGCAAGCATTGCATATATTATCCATCACCAGTTGCCCTTGAAAAGATAATGGTGAAAAGCTGCAGTGCCTGTGCTGTAGGTATTCCCAAAATATAGCTAGAGGAGGAAGTTATAGGATTTTGACCTAATGTCAGTGGAGGCAGGGGAAGAGCACAATACATTTCAAATTAACGATGTGCATTGCTTGGAAGAGGAAACATGCCAGTGTTGGTTCCCATGCTGCCCTTGTCCTGAGTGATAGAGTGCATGGTTTTGGGAGGAGCTGTTGTGAATGTTGTGTGTTACAGCAGCACTTTTAAATCGAAAATACTGCAGCCATTATGTGCTGGTGATGGATGGAGTGAATGTTGAGGCAGTAGATTTGGTCTCCAGCAAATCGGTTGCTTTATCCTGGATGTTGTTGAGCTTTGTGTTGTTGGAGCTCCTTTCATCCAGACAAGTGGAGAGTGTTCTGTCACATTCATGAGTTAGAAGTTGCAGATCATGCAAAATATTTAGAGAAACAAAATGAGTTATTTGCTGCAGAATTCCTAGTTTCTGACCTGCTCTTGTAATAACACTAGTTGTGGCTGATCCAGTTAAGTTTGTGATCAATGGTAACCCCCCAGGATAATGATGTTTGGGTATATGGCAATGATAATGCCATTGAATATAAGGGGGAGCTGGTCATTTCTTGGCATTTGTAGCTCTCAACCAGATAATTATTTAGAGTTGGCTCAGATTGTGACCTTCTATCTGTCCTGACGAATAGTCACAGCTGGAAAGTTTTATTCTTGTTTCTTGCTGCTGCCAGATCTTTATTTCTAGTATTTTTTTTTTTGTTTCAGACTTCGATCATGTATAGTATTTTGCTTTCAGATATTTAGCTAGCCCTATTCTGTACACAAAGCACAGAATATTGTTGAACATTTATGGCTAATGCTGTACCTGATGCAAAAATGTGTAGAGTTGGCACTCCTAGAAATAACCGGTAAAATAAATGCTTCTGTTCTGCAATAATTACTATTGCAGGCAAAATAATCTGTAGGTTTTCAAAAAAAGAAAAAAAAGTTTTTTGAAGGAGCTTCCCAGTGGGGAGAAATTCTGGCCTGTCAAGAACTATGTTTGATTTTCTTGACAGTCTTGAGTAGGAAAACTCTCAATCAGGTTAGCTAGTAGGGTGTTATAATCGTTTCTCCAATATTAGGAAAAGCAAAAATTCAGGAACAATCCTGGAGACTCATTATTGTCTACTTTTCCACTCTGGAAAAATATACTGAGGTTTGGATGAGGATAAAAATGGATTTACCTGTGTTTGTCCTCACAGGTGAATTGTCTGCCAGCTTTCCTTCTATGGTCACACATGAAGAGAAGCTAATGGGGAAGGTGCTAGTGGTTTGCTAACTCCAAATAACCAAATATCCACCAAGTATTCAGCTCCAAGATGTAATTCACTCAAGCTAAACTAGGCTGTGCAAAGCCTGGCTTCCTGTCCAACCCACATCTGTTTCACACAATATATTGTAACCATCACCAAACTGCTATCTAAACCATCAGTCACCTTGCTCATGTCTCTTCCCCCATTGTTTCTACTACCTGTCACCCACCACCTCACTGACCTGTTGTGGATTCTTCTCCCCAACCCATTCAGTTTTAAATCTTCAATCTCCTACAAATTTTGTTGTAACATCCCCCTCTTGTTTTTATTGCAAAAAAGTACTTTATTCATAAATTACCTATAAGCCAGTTTACAGGTTCAAATCAATTACATACAAAGTTTGGAGAAAATACGGTGAATTTGACATTCGTCATACTGAAAGGAAACTATTTACACTCCCGTTAAGGTAATGAGGGGATCTTGAAATTTAACATGCCCTTGTTATATTTTGATAGGCTGTTGTCCTTCTCCACTTTGCCTTGCGGACAGCTGCCCCAAACTTTAGTTTGTCCGTAAGCACATAATCCTGTACCTTGGAATGTGCCAGTTTGCAACACTTGATTGAGGTAAACTCTTTACACTGGAAGCCCAACAAGTTTCATGCAGATCAAAGAGTGTCTTTGACAGAGGTGATGTCCTTCAGGCACAGTTACTTTTGTCTTGGTGTTTATCCTGGGAGAAAGTCTGTAGAGCACAAAGCCCCACATCACAGAGCTGCTTGGGATGAACCTTGACAAAATCACTGCATCTATCTCCAGACCTTCTTTGCAAAGATGCATTCCAGAAGTAGATGTGTGACAGCCTCTGCCCCTTTGGCTGCTGCCTCCAGGACAATGTACAGTGGCAGAGAGAGTCTGAAGGATCTGACAGGTAGTGCCCTTCTCACCACCAGCCAAGCTATGTCTTGGTACTTGTTGGAAAGTTCTGGTGATGAGGCATTCTCTTAAATGACTGACAGTCTGCTCAGGGAACCACCCGACAGAATCAACCTTCTCCTTTTCCCGCAGGATCTCGAGGATATTGCTGCTGACCGCTGCCTGATGACTTACAATCAAAGGTACTTTCCTTTGCAATATCTTCCACGAGGGCTAGGTGAAACAAAACGGTCCAATTCCTTGGAGCATTCCATAGTAACAAGGCCAGGCCAATTCTTCGCAACACCAGGGCAGGTAGAACCTCGGTAAGTAGTGACACTTGGTGTTTGCGTACCATTGATGCAGCCACCCACAAAGGTAGCCATTGGGATGAGGGTGGCTTCTGTCTCTGTGTCTCCGTCTCTGTCTGTCTCGCTGTGTCATCTTCTCTCCACCCCCCCGCCCCCCCATGACCACCACCATCTATCTTCTCATTGTTCAGGTTTTCTGCCTGACATTCTTTACAACTCCACTTGCCTTCCCCAAACCACTTTTCTGTTTCAATTTCCATATACTCCTGAAAACATTTCTCTTCATTCCGTAACTCTTTCTGTGAAGAATTTCAAGGACTCAACTTCTATTTATATTGCACCTTTTTAATATAAAAGAATGTCTTCACAATGATACATTAAGACAAAAATAGATATAAATGAAAGGAATGATTCAGAGGGGTTATCGTAAACTTTTCCAGAGCTCAGCTTTAAGGAAAATCTTAAGAGAAAGATGGACATTGGAAGGAAATTTGAGAAAAATAAAATCTGTTACTTCAGTGTACAGACGAGTATGGTTGAAACAACAAAGTATTTTACCTATGGGTTTACCTGGATGGACATTGTTTAGCTGATCTGCTTTGAGAAAAATAATCCCACCACAAACATGATGAACAAGATAGTTAGGCTTTTTAAAAAGTACTATTCCTCATTGCTGGAGTAATAGTGCTAGTATTTAGAGAACATGAAACCTAATGCAATTTGGTAAAGTTATAATTTTATAACAGACTTTGCTGTTTATTGTATCCAATATTCTTAGGGTTAGTTGAGCATAATTCCAATATGTTTAATGTTGAAACCAAAGGAGACTATGTAATTTGGTTGAAAAAGCTGTGGTTGATCAGCCATTATTAGTTACATTTTGTAGATATGACAAAAACTAAAGATTTTGAAAATTATTCAGCATGCTGATGTTCATTGTCGAGGCTTAAAATGAGCAGTTGTTTCAATTGCATCCTGAATGCAAGCCATTCCTTGTGCAGAACTTTGAGTTGAAGTGAGGGATGGAGAAACTAGAAAATTAAATTGCAAATAATCTAGCACAATGACTGTTTGAGAAGAACTGACCTTAGTAACTCATTGCAATAGCAGATCTATATTGTCGTGGTTGTTTGGCTTTTTAAACTGTGTAAGTCAAGATATTCATTCCAGAAAATCTTAACTGTGTGTAAGGTAGTTGAGATGACATGAGTTGCTCCCATATAACTAATAGAATTTACGTAACTGAAAATCTTATAATTTATGAATGTCCGTGGTAGCCAGAAGTTTAGGGACTTCCGAATTCACTGGCAACTTTTTTTTTGTAAGCTAGTTCGTAAAGGAATTTCACAGTCAAAATAAAATATTTCTATCAAATGGTGATGCCCAATTGGCATGTGCAACAGTGATGTGCTCCTGGGATTTCGCTGTGACATTGTTCTTAGTTCAGTTGTGTTGTTGTAGGAAATTGCTGTTCAGGAGCTAGGCAGTTTCCTGCAATGTGAAAGAGTAACGTCATTCCCCTTTATGCTCTCCACACTCCTTTTGGAGATTGCTTCAGAGAATTTTAGGAAGACGTAAAGGAAGCCAGTTCTTAGTTACAATTGCTACATGGCCTGTTAAGGTGAAGGAATGTATAGCAAACTAAGGACCAATGTTGTTTTTTTTCTGTGTGTATACAAAGAGAACAGCTGTTCTGCTGACAGTTAGCCTGCTCGGCTGGAAGCATCCTTTATAAAATGCTGGAGCTTGGTGCCATTTTGTGCGCTCAATTTATTTTCAGTGCATTGAGTTGACATTGTAAATCTTGTGTTGTGAGGTAACCATCACTATTTGGGAGGTTTTGTGCATTTGTTCCTAATGTTTTGTACCAATGCAAAGATTAGTACACATTTATACCAGAGTGTATTTTTTACCTATTGCAGATATTTTTAGGGTGCATGAAAAATTTACAGACTTTTCTATCTCCAAATGAAATTGAACGTCAGTTTGTGCAAGTCTTGTGGCTACTTTTTCATTCCACCACACAGTGTGGGAAAAAGATTGAGTTGCCAGTTCTTTTTTTTTTAATTAGAATGATGTGTGATGTTTCCTAAAAGGACAGCAGTTATTTTTTTAAAATATTGACAAACTAGATCTCAAGAAAATTTCTTGAGCATGCACATTAACTTAAGCTGTTTACAATGAAAAGCTTCCTTTTAGATGAATGTTAAATCCTTTCTTGCCTTCAAGTACCTACAAACAGTCTAATTGCACCAATCGAAGAAAAGCAGGGGAGTTCTTCCTACGTTTCAGCCAATATTTATTGCTCAACAAACATTATTATAATTGAGTAACTGGTCATTTATTTCTTTTTTTTGTTGGACATTGTATGCAAATTGGTGGCCAGATTTCATTACATCAGTCAAAACTCATAATTTATCAACAAAAGTAATTCATTCACTGGGCAGAGCTTGAACACTGGCCAAATACATCACCAAAAGTGATGGAAGGATAGCTGCTGAAAAATCAAGAAAAGAGAAGGAGGAAACGTTTCCAGAGGTATTCCTTCCGGAGCTTTGTATTTAAACATGCCATTTGGCCCACGTCATGAAATTCACCTTGTCCATTCTGACTTTTTCTATTTATATCACCAAATCTTTTATTATAATCCAACCCCCTGCGTAAACAATCTATTATGCTGACATCATTCTGGAGAACAAAAATAAGCTGTCTCTTTTTATCTGATGAGAAATATTTCCTTAAACCTATCTGCCAGTCACTTCACCCTCATTGTTAACTTTTTTTGTACTACCCCATTCCAGTGCTGCAATTTCCAGTCTTTTCGCGTAACCTCAAACGGTCACCCACTTCCCCTCTCAAAGTAGCCCTCAATCTCTAGCTTCTCAATCTCTGCCCTTTCCCTCTGCAAACTTATCCAAGAGGATAACTCTGTTTCTCAAATCCACTTGCATTTAACTCCTGACTATCCAAATTCAGCTGTCATAACCCCAGTGCTACCTTTTATCTTTACTTGCACTCCCTTTCAGAATTGTTAAAGGGAGAAAGTCATGTATCAAATTTTTTTGTTACTACTGCGTGTGGGCTTCAAGCCTGATTGTAGGAACCAAAATGAACCTAAAAGATGACAAGTTTCCACAACGCTGATGAGGTCCCCATGGCTACTAATTTTAAGTATTTGCTATTTTTTGGTTGGTGACAGGGAGAGTACCAATTGCTAAAATGAAATCCTGACTTCCCTACCCAATCGCCCTCTCCCTTGTTAATGCAGTAAATCAGCCTGTATGGAAAACATTGATAGGTTGTTCAGCAACATGGAGAGTCTCAGCCAAGTTGGAATGTGCCCTGATCTGCATTTTCTTCAGTCTGTCTTTTTTTTTTTGTTTCAGCTAGTCTCATTGAATGTGATGAATTCATGGAAATCCAGTATTTCTACTAGCCTTAACCAGAGTGCTGCCCATAATGGGATAAGTGAACTCCGTTCAGAGCACTGATCAAACCTGAGACCTCTTTAGGCAATAGATTAAAAAGATCAGGTGAAACTGTGTTTTCCCCTTCTTCCTTATCGCTAATAACCTCCATATCCTCATCCCCTTATCATACCACTGAATGTTACAAGTTAATGGCAACTTGTACAAGCTATTGAGGGCTGGACTTGGCACACTTAGAGTAAGCACTGAGTGGGGAGGGGAAAGAGATTCCTTTCTTTCTTTGTTCTGCAAGTACAATATATTTTTCTCATTGTTGCCTTACTTGCTTTGAAGTATATGCCCAATGTGATTTTTGTTTTATATTCATCCATGGGATGTAAGAAAATTGGCAGTGTCAGACTCCCACCACCCTCTGAGTGAGGAAATTCTTTCTCCACCATGCTCTTAAATGTCGTAAATTTACCTGAAGTCTGTGCCCCTGGTCATTGCACTTGTACACCTAATGGAAAACCTACCCTCCTGTCCACCTTCTTTATGCCTCTCATAATCTTATACATTTCTATCAGATCACTTCTCGACCTTTGCTGTTTCGAAGGAAAAAAACCCTAGAATATCCAATATTTCTGAGGAAGGGTAACCAGACCTGAAAGGTTATCTCTGATTTCACTTCAGCAGGTCTGGCAGAGCTTTTCCAGTAACTTTTGTTTTTATATCCAATCTTTCTCCTAGCTCAAAACCTGCAGTCCAAGCAGCATCTTGTTAAATCTCCTCTGCACCCTCTCTAGTATAGTCACATCCTTTCTATAAGGTGGTGACCAGAACTCCATGTGGTACCCTAGTTGTAGCCTCACCAGTGTGTTTATTAGCCTTGGCTATAAAGACTGCTTCCTTAACCACTTTATCCATCTGTTTTTCCATCTTCAGGGATCCCTGGATGTGCACACCAAGTATTCTAGCTGTGGCCTGACTATCTTTGTATAGTTTGAGCAAAACCTCCCTACTTTCATACTCCATACCCTTTGAAATAAAGACCAACATTCCATTTGTTTTCCCTATTACAGCCTTCCCCAGGGCAAAGCATTCATTGGGGACTATCCACCAAGATACCTTTGTTCAGTATTTCAGGGTTTTACCATTCACAATGTAATGCCTTGCAGCCTTCGCTCTCCCGAAGTGCTTACTTCATACTTTTTGTGTTCAATTCCATTCGCCATTGCTCTGCTGACCTGACCAGTGTGTTGATATCCATCTGCAGTTAATGCTATCCACCTCACTATTTACCACCCTACCAATTTTTGCATCAGCCGTAAACTTGTTGATTATACCCCTTTATTTAAACGTACGTTACTGATGTACATCACAAACAGCAAGAGCCCCAGCTCTTAAACCCTGCAGAATCCCACTGCAAACAGACATCTGGTCACAAAAACATCCTTCTGTCATTGACCTCGATCCTTGCCTCTCAACCAATTTTGGAACTAACGTGCCACCATGCCTTGGATCCCATTGGCTCTTACTTTCTTGTCTAGTCTGCCTTGAGGGACCTATTCAAAAGCGTTGCTTAAGTCCATGTAGACCGCGTTAAAT